CTTGTGTAATATACCTATGCTCTGAAGCGGATATTTGTGGTTTCATAGACTCCCAAGACAAGTTGTATTAAAGGGCAAAGTTTTTAATCCTTAGGTAGAATTGCCCAGAGTGTTTTCTACAGTTTAGTGAACTGCTAGCTTCCAGCAAGCTTTTCCTCAACAGTGTAGAAAACTGGAAAACGAGCAGTGTTAGGCACCTTGTGTCAAAATACAAACTCCCATTGCTGAAGGGAAAATGCCCAACTTCAGTTGTTCGTAGGGGCTTTTGAGGCTTTCATTTGCTTGCTCATGAAGAATTTTAGTAAGTTGTTATATTCTTGCTTAAGTCTGAAAGCTGTTAAGGAAACAGCAGATATGGGTAATGTGTCTGACCTGATGGCAGGTGCCACCTAGGAAGAGAAGCTCTGGTGACAGAGTGACCAAGCGGGGCAGGGGAAGAAAGCAGTGGGAGCAAAAGAGAAAAGGCCCAATGTGTACTCCACAGAGCTTACCACGCCTCTGCTGAGACAGGAATCCATTAACTATGTGCATCAACTGCACTGATCAGTTGGGGGAAAACCTAATCCGCTACAAGAAGAGCAAGTGGACTGAAAAGACCAAGCATAATGGTTGGTGGGATCCATTCTGACCTGTCAGCTGGGTCTGTTCATTTCAAATGTCACTAATATGTGGGAATATTGCTCTTGCTTTTACCTGCAAATTTCACCTTCGTGTGCTTATTTTTGCATTCCCTTTATGGATGTGTTTTTGCCAGCTGGAGCTGCATCTTTCGAATTACTGTTGTGATGCAATGCAGCCTAAATCTAAGTGTTAGAGGGAGTGCTGGACACAAGTTCACTAGGTCTCTGCCTGTCTTTTCGGTAAAGGTATTACAAATAAGTAGACAGCTAAGAAAAACCTTGGGGTTTTCCTGACTTCTGTTGTTTCCCATCTGCTTCTGAGTGTTTGCTGGAGGGGGAGGGCACACAGCTCTGGGCAAGGGGAGGCCTGGTTCTTTCCTAATTTCTCCCAGGGAAGAATGCCTGTAACTTGCAGCACGGTCAGGTTTCCTTCAGAAGAAACTATTCTGTGAGTAATGAGAAATAAGTTATGTTAATATGGAAGTTTTATACTTCATCTGTATTGTTTTCACCACCACAACCCCCTGCCTCAAGTGATTGTTGCCACGATAACTGTTGACCGAAGCCTTTCTACCAGTATCAAGGAACTGCATTTAACTGATGCAGGGCAAGGACTTAATTCTTTCAGCTTTTAAGGACCGTTTATTCTGTTTAAAACAAGCACACTTCTCGAAAGCAAACTCTATGTAATGTTCCTAAGAATATTTATGTTACTAATACTGGGAGTACCAACATCAAAAAAAACAAAGCAACTTGCACAGTTCAATATTGCTTTTTGTGAATTGCCTCTTCAACATCTGTAATACAAAAGCTTTTGCAAGTCTGAACTGTGCAGATCTCAAATTCCAGCCTTCTATAGCCAGAGGCAATTGTTACAGAACTAACACTCCATCGTTTCCAGTGGCACTCTCTGAGAACCTAACGTGATCTAAAATGCTGACTTGGTGTGAATTTGCAATGTTTTTAAGCAGCTGCTTCTTTGACAGCTTAACACTTAAAACTTGAGCTGCTGAAGATCATGTGAGCTGCAAAGTCTTCATCTCAGACCATCTCCCTCTAATTTAAAGTGCAAACAGCTGAACAAAGTAACTCAGCTTTGATATTTTCTTAAAATGGGAGAAGTGTCTCGGAAGTTCTAAGTGTCTAAAATTGTTCCATTGCTTCTGAATCTGTGTTTTGCCACAGGTTTAGTATTTGGGGTATGGTATTTGCTACTGTACCAACTTCTTTCCAGAGATAAAGTTTTGGCTTTTGGTCAAACTGGAGGAGTTTGTCATTCTCTAAGTTGGAACTAGTTTGATTTTTTTTTTTTTTTAACTGGCTGCTTAGGAGACATAGCTTTTACTTTAGCTGAGTACGCTACACAGCAAAGAGCAACTTCAGCATTATCTACCTTCCAGAAAGTTATATACAAGTGGTGTACAATATCTAGCAAGAGACAGAAAAAACTAAAAGCACGAGCTCTTAACTGCAGGTGTGTAGAGAAGAAGCTAGCTTTTCTACTTGACATTTTTAGGTTGGTTTTTTTTTTTCTCCCATAAACTCAGTTAATCTGCACTTGTTACTGTTGCAGTCAAGGCTGGTAGCAGTGAAAGGGTGAAGGTGTGAAACGTGTTTACTGCCTCCTTGCTTGCACTGGCCCTTTTTGCCTGTTGCTTTGCATCACTTACTAACAATGCACCAAGTCATACTCTCTAGTTACCAAAAAAGGAATTTTCACTGAAGTACTCAATCTTGTTGACTCAGGCACTGTTCGTGTTCTGCAAGCAAAACAAAGTTGCTCTCTTCATGACTAGAATGAAGAATCCAGTAGCTTTTTTGTGTGTGTAATTTATCATTACTTCATTTCCTTCCTTTCATAAACCCATGAAGTTGTTGCTTTCTTGCACCTTCCTATTCTTTCAGGAGAAATAGGATTACGAGCTCTTCTGTCCAGGGAGAAAGGAAAAGGCAGGGTCTAAATTCCTTAGACCGTTTGGAATATGCTCTAGGAAACATCCTGAATCCCTTTCCTACAGAGAAGGGAAGGGTAAAGAAAGGAAAATAGGACTTAGAGCTGGAATTTTTCAGTACTGTGAGTAGAGAGGTGGGTGTTCACAATTTAGGAAATGTTGGTAATTCTGAATATTAACTGTGAAGATAACTACATATGATCACTTGTAACTGACTAGAATTATAACTCTAAATCATTTCAGCATGCTTCTTCCTGAGATAGCACTTGAACTAAAGGCACAAGCTTCTTTAATTAAAAAAAGTTTAAAACCAGAGTATATTTTTGACTTGATGTCTCAAGTTTTACTGGAGGTATTAATGTGATTATCATACCACTTCAGTTATGTATTTGTAAGTATCCTTGTGGGGTTTAGAGTTTATCACTGCTTTCTCTACCTTACCTTGTCATATATGCAGTTAAGATATTTATAAACATGAGGATTGCTCTTTTGCTAAGGGAAAAGATGGTATTTTAACATGCAATTTTCAAGCTCAGTAGTTCAACTTGCTATGAAAATTGAGATGGGTAAGAATTGTGGCAGTGATGGCAATATTTTCTGGTGTGTGGTGCCAATTTTAAGGAACACTGTCTATGAATAAATAAAATGAAATAGTGGCTTTTGATGTCGTCTCTATTAATATCCAGAATAACCTATTCCTGAAATAATAATGAATGTTAATGGATCTATGGTCTGGCACAGACAGTTTCCAAATGCTGGACTGCAGCAGTGAAGTAACTGGATACTATTATGTGGCTCTCAACTCTGTACTGCTGACTCACTTTCTGGCCTCAGAGAAACCGTGGAAGCTCTTTTCTTTCATACAAAAAGAATGCCTTCCTCTAGCTTTTACCAAAGCTGCAAAAGACTACAAATTACTGAGTACAGGAGACAGAAGGCTTTGGCAATCTCCATTTTTCACTCAATATTGTAAGGATCAAGGACCTCTTTTATAACGCCTTATGAAAACTCCCTGCAGTCACTTAACTACAGATTCAGTAGTACACATTTGATTGCAGGGAAATATGAATTTAGTTTAGTGAAATATTAGATTTGTCTAGTTCAGGATTAACTTAGTCTTCAGGAGGAAAAGCATGCAAGTGTGATCAGTCTAGCACACTTCTACCCAATAAGTACATCCTGTACTCAGCCTAAGGCACAGTTTTTCAGAGCTTGACTATTGAACAGCTCCCTTCTTGTGGGAGAACCAGGGTCTGATTTCTTGCTGAGGAAAAGTGTGAAATAGCACTGTATTGGGTTTAGTGGCAAGGCATTGGCAGTGGGGGGCAGGGGGGTGCTGTGGGGGTGGCCTCTGTGCGTAGAGACCAAGGGTTGTCTCTGCGTCGTACAGAGCTGCTTCCAGCTGGTTCCAAAATGAACCCACCATTGCCCAAAGCTGAGCCCTTCAGCCAAGTTGGTGGTGCCTCTGTGGAAACATATTTAAGAAAGGGTAAATAAATACCATGCAGCAGCTGCGAGAGAGGACTGAGAAATATGTGAGAGAAACAGCCCTGCAGACACTAAGGTTAGAAAAGAAGGGGGGCGGGGATGTGTGCTACAGGTGCTGCAGCAGAGCTTCCCCTGCAGCTTGTGGTGAAGACCATGGTGAAGCAAGTTGTTCCCCTGTAGCCCATGGAGGACCCCATTGTAGAATATATCCACAATGCAGCCTGTGGAGGACCCTATGCCACAGCAGGTGGACACGTCTTGAAGGAAGCTGCAGCCCATGCAAGAGCAGGCTC